ATACGGCGACAAAGTGTGCTTAAATGTGTCTGGCGCATCGGTATGCGAAAAGGGGCACACCAATCAAAGGACACCACAGATAACAGATGACAAACGCGCAATGAAGAGGCAGTCAAGCTTCCGCCGTCATTGGCTAAGGTCGGGGGTAAACAAACGTATGTGGGCGCATTTGAGGGGTAAACGAAGGCACCAGGCACGTAAGGAGCAGATGAACCCACACGCCGCGTACACTTTATCTGGCGTCGAGAAACGAGGATTGTAAAGATCTCTTAAACTAAACTGTTTGCTCCAAAATCTCACAGAGACGGGATTTTCCTATGTTTTCCGTCGATCGCCACGTTCGATTGCATCACATGCTTAGGTTCATTGCTGTGGCTAAAACTTTGATGTCGGCGGCGGCAAAGAGCTTCGCCTTACACGTCGGGTGTAGGAACACCGGCGATGCCGACTTTATTTCATGGACTCTTTTTTTTTTTGCATCCGAGTTTAAAATTTTGTTTTGTACAAAGAAGCTCGGGGGGCGGGGGAGGGGGGGGGGGGAGTAGTTTTGGGAAAGTCCGTGTTGTTATTCTACCGCACTTGAACAAATCTTCACTAACCGGTGAGACATCCTACAACTCTGCTTAAGGTCGATGCTGTCTGAAACCAATGTGGGCGCATTTGAGGAGTGAACGAAAAAGAGAAATCTTGCCAAGGCACAGTTTTCTTCAGAAGGACTCGGAGATTTCCACCAAGTAAATCTTCGTTAAGAACAGTTTAAAAAAATGCGAGCATACTGCCCTGGACTACAGTTCTAGTGAACAAGCGCACCATCCAATGCATCGAGCTTGCTTTTATAGCCTTTTTGGTGCGCTCAAACCTTTAAAAACACAATTATAATCAATTCTATTATTTCAATTATTTTTATTAAGTGCGCCAGTGTGTATGTTTTTGTTGTTGTTGTTGTTGTTGTTTTTTGTCTTTTGCGTTTACGTGCCAGTTTCTTAGTTATATAATATTTTCCAGAAGTCCGACAACTATAGTCTGTTTCATAAGTAAGAACCGCATAATCAAAGATCTACAGAAAAAATGAAAGCCGTTTACAACTCCCTGTAACGCCGAACTAGAGCGCAGCTCTTGAGGAGGAGGAGGGAAGGGTACTGAGGTTCACGTGTTATTGGGGGGGGGAGGGGGGGTTACGTGACCTTGGAGGGGTCACACGACCCCCTCGCCAAGGTCACGTAGGGGTCACGTGACCTGGGGGTGTCACGTGACCTCGGGGGGTCACCTGACCTCAAGAGAAATTATTCCGCTAGATTTAGCGGGGAAATTTTTCCGCTAGATTTAGCGGGGAAATTTTTCCGCTAGATTTAGCGGGGAAATTATTCCGCTAGACAGCGGGGAAATTTTTTCGCTAGATTTAGCGGGGACGCTTTCCGCTAGATTTAGCGGGAAAATTTTTCCGCTAGAATTAGCGGGGAAATTTTTCCGCTAGATTTAGCGGGGAAATTATTCCGCTAGATTTAGCGGGGAAATTATTCCGCTAGATCTAGCGGGGGAAATTTGTCCGCTAGATTTAGCGGAGACATTTGTCCGCTAGATTTAGCGGGGAAATTTTTCCGCTAGATTTAGCGGGGAAATTTACCCATAATGCACCGCGCGGTTACGCCGACGGTGACTGCGACGGCGACGGCGACGCCGACGCCGCTCAAGCCGGAAACGGGCGCCTAAGAGCTGCGCTCTAAAAAGTGAAAGCCGTTCACAACTCCCTGTAAGCGCAGCTCTTGAGGAGGAGGAGGGAAGGGTACTAGGAGGGTAGACCCTCTCCCTCCTCCTCCTTCTCTCCTCCTCCTCCCCTCATTCTTTAATATGCTCCGGGGGGGGTCACGTGACCTCGGGGAGTGTCGCATGATTTCGGGGGGGGGGGGAGGGGGGTCACGTGACCTTTGGGGGTCACGTGACCTCGGGAGGGATCACGTGACCTGGGGGGTCGCGTGACCTTGGGGGGGTCATGTGACCTTGGGGGTTACGTGACCTTGGGGTGACCTTGTGAGGGGTCACGTGACCTTGGAGCCTGCGATTCTAGGAGCCTGCGAAGCCCTGCTCTGCTCAGTAAAGCCCGACAATAAAAGTTGCCAACTTTCAGATCTCAAAGAAATGTTTCAACGGGCGAGGTTGCTCGTGTGTATGTCAATAAGAAAAGTCTACTTCACACTAGCCCTTGGTCATATTCATTTATTAAATCATAACTGTAATTAACCTATACCTTTCCCCTCTCGTCAGCACGAGCGGGGCACTCCATAATCTCTGCCAATCAACAAGGGGTCCGCGAAACATCGATGTTTGAGAACCACTGCTCTAGCTGATACCTCGTACGTCGGCGGCGGCAGGCAAAATGCGAATTGGCAGCTTTCAAGTCACAGCAGAACGAACGGGAAGCTCGCAAGTCTGCTGTGTAATTATTCTAGCTTGAACTGCCCGTTTGCCCGAGTCTACGCCCCAACTTCATCTATGCCGCGAAAAATTCGCCATCTTCTGCTCATCAAACTTGGTCATCCGGGTCTTCCAGAGCAGTTGTGTACTGAAAAGAGAAACTAAAGGGGGGGGGGGGGGGGGGAGGGGCTGGTTTTCAAATGGTAAAAAGTTGGGGAAATGTCATTGTGAGAAAATGGCTGTGTTGATATTTAGCTACACCCACCCAGCTCTGTACAAAATATTATATTTTTTGTCTAATTCTCAAAAATGAAAAAAATGAAGTATTTTGTTTTTTATGAACATTCAGTAGAAATGCCCATACTTCAAGTGTTTTTAGAGCGAAGCTCTTAGGGGCCTGTTTCCAGCCTGAGCGGCGTCGGCGTCGGCATAACCGGGGGGGGGGGGGGGGGGGGGGGGTCACGTGACCCCCCCCCCCCCCCGAGGTCACGTGATCACCCCCCGAGGTCACGTGCCCCCTCCCCCCCCCCGAGGTCACGTGACCCCCCCCTCCCCCCAGATCACGTGACCCCCCGGGGTCACGTGACTACCCGCAGGTGACGTGACCCCCCTCAGTACCCTTCCCTGCTCCTCCTCAAGAGCTGCGCTCCGATTCGGCGTTACAGGGATTTGTAAACTGCTTTCATTTTTTCCCTCTTCACACTTCTTTCACTAGTACCAATGTCTTACCAGCGTTTTCTGAAGTTTGTCTTCGACAATATAAACACGTTTGGTGCCATTTTATTTGAGAAGAATGGAGGTGTCTTCGAACTTAAGAGTTCTATTCAATTAATTACTTTATCAACGACAAAGCATGTTTTTTACACTATAATTACAATCGTTTTTTTTTAGTAACATAAACCTCTCAGATGAGATCTAAGATAGAATCGCCGCACAAATTACACCTTTGTGAATGAAGGTGCATAAAATTGTTTGATAATTTACGAATAATTTTTTAACGACCCGTAACAAATTACCTAATAAAATTAAACAGATATCCCATAACTCGGGTTTTAGTGAAGGTATTCAGTAGAGAGTTTTAGGATAGGGGGGCCCCAACGTTTGAATTCCCCTAAGAAATCGGGGGACCCAAACGTAACAAGATTGGCCGCGACGGCTTATAGAAAAGGGATTTCGCAACGCAGCACAGAGCGCTTACGTTTCCCGCTTGCGGCGCCAATGCGGCTAACGAGCGTAATAATGAAAAAAAAAAGAAAAATATAAAAAAACACCTAAAACATGTGCGCTTAGCAAGTACTTTTTTTTCTTTTTTTTTACACAAATAATCGTTAAGGTGGAGCCGGCTAAAACAAGAGACAATCTAAAATCAGTATAAATGTTGTTGGCTTTATTCACAAAACAATCCAATCCGTAACGCGTTCTAATTTGGCGCTCTTTCCCAGATTTTCTGGGCGTTCGTGTGCGCTTTGACCTTCTGTCGCCATAGATTTAGGCCTTCAGCTATGCCGAAGCTGATATGAACGCAAGCTAGCATACTCTGCGAGCAGCTGCTCTACTTAGATCTGATCTTGCGCGACTTTGAAGCCTTGAAATGCTTGTTTTCAAGCTGCAGGTATCGTGCCACGAACGAAATCCACTCGGAGCCATGGAGTAGCAATACGCTGCCATGTCAGCGGTTACCGCGTCTCTTTAGGCTTAGGAACGACCTGAATCAGGGACGATCATTAAAATGGGGTGAGCCCACCGCTCATTCTTTGTTGTTTAAGCGAGATAAAGCAAAGCGAAAGCCGGTTGCACCGTTCATTGGCAATGAAATTGGCTAATACTGCAGCGACCATGACGAATTTGTTCCGAAGCGAGCGGAAAGGGCACCGCCATGTTTGCCGACGCAACCCGACCCCAAGCAAATGCGCGCCCCACGCTATTTCTCGAATTTTGCGTTGGAGGCGAGCGCCAACCTAAAACCCCAAACGGAGTTCGGGTTCTGGGCCTGCGCACTGGTGAGCCCCTATTAATTTGGGGCTCCCAAGCTTTGGAGCTCTCTGCTCTAAAAGTCTAATATCTGATTGCATATTTAGAATAGGTGGGGATTGTCTGATATGAATGTATAATATGATAAGTATTCTTCCATCAATAAGAAAATTGCTCTAAAGCCACACATCCCCTCTTAAGGCATGTTTGACAGCCAGAGGCCTGGTAATTCACCTTTAGGGTTCTTCGCGCGCTATGTCTATTGTTATTTATCTCACAAAAAGTCCTTAAATATGCAATTAAACTTTATATTGGCGGGAATACTTATTTTTTGCAAGAGATATTATGTGTTATTCCTTCATGTACTCGATACACGTAAATTAGAAACAAATGGTTTTCGAAAGAGCTGACAAAGTTTCGCAAACATCTTTAAAAGTAAATTTTATGTGGCGTGGATGCCATTTGCAATTGTTGCGTGAGAGGATGTAAAGCAATTTAACGCAATTTAAATTAACTGTTAAAAAAAAGTATGACGCTCACGACATATGTTTTTTTTCTCTTTTAATTTGAAGAACTGAATGGATTTGTCTTAATGTATTACCCATTTTCTCTCACAGCAAGTACAGGGAGCAGTGAGCATCTTTGCTGCGGGAGTTGCGATTGCGACATGTGAGTGATCAATCGGTAACCTCTCGCGTATTTTTTTAACACAAAACTGATTTTAAGCTCGTCACCAAGCCGTGCGAGATAGGTAATGCTGTAACAAACACTCTGCTAACATGGCCAGTTGTACTAACAAAACGCTGTGTTCATGGAAGGGAATTGAACTAAATTCCCTTGATACTTCTTTAACAAGTAAGGGCAACCAATCCAAATGACAAAGCACATTCGGCTGGCACAAAATGGCGGCATTCAGTTCCAACCTCTGCTGTGCGCCACCATTCGATTCCTAAAACCAGCACCGTAACGCAGTGGGCGCTTCAAAAACTGTCGCTACTTCTAGGAGGCTCTTACTTAGGGACTTTAAGTCGAACCACAAACATCTGGCTCATTTCTCTGAAACCCGATAGACCTTTCCAGCGCTTATCACTCCGGTGGAAAATGACGAGTTGCTGTGCTGGTCGACGCACGTACAGCGTCTGAACGCGATGATAATCTTATCATCCGCCTTCCGCACTGCTAGCCTTTCGCCTGCTTCATGAGTGGTAACTTTGGCGCGCCTTCGAGTTTCCCACGAGCTTCAAGTCGTCCTAAAAAGAGTTGAATTAGTGGTTTTCCATGCGGATCAGAAACTTTCTAATTGGAACCATATGTCAATTTTCACTGATTAAAAGTGAATCAACGAATTATAATTAATTAGCCAACTATCGCAAAAAATTAGCCATGCAGATAATGTCCCCTTGGCCGTATAACTTACCTGCACAAACCGCATAAGTGTGACTTTCACGGCATTTTTAAAACAAATCTGTAAATCTTTAAGAAAAAAAAAAACTGTCTAAGAAACAAAAAAAACCTTTGCGTTGGGTGATATAAGCATTTTTGTAAACGTTTAAAACATTTAGTACTGAACTGTCACAAAACGCCGACCATAAATTGGAAGTGGAGAACGTTTTTCCATTAACGCTTGACACAAATGTTTCTTTCAAACGCTAAACAACTATTGAGAAAAAACTTTAAAAAATACGCATCCGCAAGGAACTCCCGAAAGCAGAAACCTGCATGGATCAACGCCCATAGCTGTAATTGTCGTAAGTGGTCAATGTGACACGAGTCTTGTTTCGTCAAGTAGTAACAGAGACTGATGTCTCCTGTTTCCAAAAAAAAACAGGCTTGTAACAAGTTGTCGTAGAAATAATCAAGTCAGTCCTATTTTTCAAGAGTCAAGAAGGAAAAACATTATCCTGACATCCGTCCTCCCCCCCAAGAGGAACTACTCATTAAAAATGGCTAACATGCGTTAAAATTCCTGTATTCGTCGATGAACGCAATTTCGAACTTGATAACTTTCGATGCAAAAAAATACAGCACAGGCATTGTAGCCTTGGACAAGATAGAAAACTCTCGCCCTTTCCATGCATGGGCCTTACGTTTCAGAGCAAATAAGAGCCAGCACTCCCGTATTCCTAGAATGATGAAGAGACAGATCTGGCCAAATTACTTTAATTTTGAAATTAAATTACGTCACCAATTACTTTGCTTGAAACGGTTAAAAAGTAATAACATTACAAGTTACCACGGCACAAAAGTAAATATTTGAAATTACACAAAGTTCCTTTAAAAGTAAAAATATTAACTTCAGATTACTTTTTTATTTCTCTATACAAAAAGGAGTGATAGTTTCTTTCTATCAATAGTTTTATTTCCTTTATATACAGATAACAAAGGCAACCGGTATTCAAAACGTTTCCCTGCTTTCCGACATAGATCCAAGAAGATTACAAGAAAAAGAAATGGCAAACATCTCCCTCACCCTTCCCTTGGAAATAAAAATATAACGATCCTTCTAGCAAACTTTTGGCAGTAATTCCACAATTATGAATTGCTTCAGTTTTTTCTTAGAACTTGTTCTGCCCTCAGTTGATCCTTTCTTGAACATTCTGATCAGGGAAGATAATTTCGGGTGCTGTGCGTATATGTATAGTATCCCGAAAAATAACCCGCCCCAGGGCTAGTTAGTGCAAAGCTCTGGCAAAGCTTCTTCGATTTTTTGACGCCCTTCCACAACCAGAGATGCCTTCTAATTCTAGCTTTATTTTGTCGGCGTTTGACTCCGGAATTCTTCGCTTGTTTGCAACTTTTGATCACAAAGGGTCAATCACCTTGTTTTTATCGACACGACGCCTTTTCTGGAAACCCCGGCACGGCCGAAACGTGTGGGCTTGGTATAGGGTATCATCTGCAGAGGGGTGCTTTTATCTCGAGCCTTTACAAGACGCATGACTACGCAGAGCCTTGCCGCGAGTCTCATAACCATAATAATCTCAGAAGAAAAATTGAAAAAAAAATATCTAGAACCTTATTTTGTGCATGAATTTCGCGTTCACTTTTTTTTTAATATTTTTCATTTTAGAAGTACACTATCACAGTGTGTCGGAGTGCTCGCGCTCGATATATTGTACACTTCTCAAAATGTTCGTGGTCTTCGAGATGTGCCCCTTCATGAATCACCTAACGCATTTTTTCATCTTTCTTTTACTTTTTTTTAAACCCTTTGCCCGGAACTGTATTTTTTTAAAGGAGCCCCTCAGTTCTGCATATGTATAAAATATGCTTCAAGCTAAAAAGTAATTAAAAATGTATTTAAAAATAATAAACCAGAGTAATTTCTTACATTACCAAATTATGTAACAAAAAAGTGATTAGTTACATTATTAAACAGTGTCAAAGGTAATGAATTACTGTCATTACATTACATTAATTGAATTTGAGACACTTCTGGGTGATCGGTGACCGCGTGGGATAGCGCACACCAGCTCGGAGTACGTGGAGCAAAAACTCGCGCTGCAGAACCCTGGGATCCTGGGCTCAATCGCCACTCCTGCCCGTTTCGATCTGGATGAGCACCGTACCGGCGTGCGGCCCTGTATCACCACGGCGTGGTGCACGTTAGCGGTTGTACCGCACTGGCTAAATTGCTCATCTGTCGCAAGTGACTCGTGGCAACTTTGAAATGGCTGACCAACTACACGCCCTATAAATATCCACACAACCCCAATTATTCTATTTTTTACAGCCACCTCCGCCAAGAGGTGCACGGAAATGGAAAATTGGTGGTTGATTGCACTTTATTCCTGTAAATTTTTGTGGCGCTGTTCCTTACACGCCCAACCATAGCGGTTCAAGCCATCAGTATTGTTTTGGGCGCCCGTGAACGTGCAAAATCTTCTTGTTACACGAATTGCCTGTTCGATGCTTTCCTTGTTAGAACTTAGAACAAACAGACAAAGAAGGGCAACCTGGTGTTTTTTTTTTCGCTTGACGTGTTTATTTTTATTTTTTTTTTTGCATCGAAAATCTTAGTGATGATAATACGTTTCCCTTTGAGAATTCTTTTTTGTGTTTGTTACTGGAGCTTAATATGCTCTTAGGCAAGTTAATCATGACAGTTTCAAATACTGTTTAAAAATATATGGTGCAGGGGTTCTTGAATATTACAGGTGAATGGATGCGAAATTCAGGTACGTATTCAGGCGAGGTTAAAAACAAAACAAAAACCTTTCCTTATTTTACATGGCAGGGAGAGTCAACAAAGAGCCGTCAGGACAGGCAATGTACAGTGTGTCCCCCCCCCCCCCCCCCCCTCATCCCCAACCCAATAAAAGAACTAAAACAAAAAAAAACACAATTTGCATGTTTTTTTTACTGCTAAAATGAACTATGCATCGCCGTACGCTCGTCCTCCGTCAAAATGTACAGCTAGTGGTGTGAAACAATTGCTAAAGTCTTAGAACTTACCGTTTTCTTATTAAAAAGTTGCGTTGTTGTTTTTTTATCGATTGTTTCTTGTTTGTTTGTTTTTAATTATGGAACGAGTTCTTGTGATAAGTTTTTATGATTGAAAAGGAACGAATTTCTGTAGCACTTCTAAAAGTGGAACGTGTCGTTATGTTACCGCAGTTTTTTGGGTAGTTGAATAAAATATTCTGCCGAATAATCCGCGGATAACATAAGGCAAGAAAGCGAAAATACCCACATCCAACTACGTGTCGTGCCCACCATGATCACGTGTCTTCTAGTTCTTTTTTTCACAGCGCGGAGCTGTTTATGGCTGGGGCTCCGTGGATTTTCCGTGCGCAGTGACTGAAAATTCTATACTTGCACCGCCGCACGGGGACGCCTTCCCCGCATAAAAGATTCAAATCAAGTAACCGAAATAAGGCGCTGATGAACGCACGTGCAAGACGCAATTTACTTGTTTTGGGCTTTTGCTTTAGAACAGCTACTTCTGCAGACGCCGGCACGTATGGCGCGTGGAACGCCAGTCCGTGAATTCCCCTTGATGCTTGGATAAGTTAGCAATAGGTCTATTCAGTAGATAGTAGATTACTTAGTTATCAATAGGCAGCATTTTCAAGATCAGTGGACTCTCAGGTAGATCATAAAGGTTTCTCACAGATTTCCCGCTGTACAACGCACGGCCATGTCTACACTCGCACCGCCCTCTCTTTGTCGTCGTTTCAAGCGCTTGCGTGCCTAGTTTCCTTTCCTTCAAAGGGACCGCCGCCCCGCTCTTCAGGGGTGGCGGTCCCTTCGCGCGTTTCTACTTTCCGCCGGGTGACGGACCAGTCGCGCGTGTCCAGTCTCCTGCGGCTCTTCGGGGCGGGTCTGTGTCCTGTGCTAAACAGCTTCGCTGGTTACCCACCTCCACAGAGTGGAATGGCTTATGATTTTTTTACTGTCTTTCAGACAGTTTTCCTTCCCATGAAATCGGAAGTTGAAATAGTAGATAATCAAAAAACCTACATGCCTACAAAATTCGGGTAACAGTTCAGAAATATAGTAGACACAGAAAAAGGAACGCCGTTCCTTCTGCCGTTCTCTCGAAGACGTTCCACGTTCCCGTTTTAGTTTTGCACCCACACAAGATGGAAAGGCGTTCAGCCGTTCCTCCTAAGAAAGGAACGCGCTCCGGTGACGTCGTTCGTGTGATCGCTGTACCGTACAACGCG